CTCATTTTTTCTTTTCCCTACTCAACTCCCATGTCACTACTTCAGCAAGGACTGGGTGTCGTGGAGGCACTCTCGGATGAACGGCATGAGCATCTCGACCAACTCCTAAGCCTTCAGAAGCTTCTGTTGCAGTCCATTGGTGACCCTGAAGAGACTCCTCCGTTTACACAGGTGAGACTTGGACATGTACAGCAAAGTTACGCATACATGTTCTGGGATACTGGGGAGGGAGAAGGAGAAACTGGGGAGGGAGAAGGAGAAACTGGGGAGGGAGAAGGAGAAACTGGGGAGAAGAAGTTACACTATACATTCTGGCTGTGTTTCTCCTGTGTTTTAAGAAGGATGTTTAAAGCTATGTTAAATGTAAGAAAAAATAATCAAGTCTGTTTAGTGCAGAGTTACTCAGAGGCAAATAGCACGGGGAAGAAGGGGAAACAGGGAGGGAGAAGGGAACGGGGGAGGAGGAAAGGGGAAACGGGGAGGGAGAAGGGGAAACGGGAGGAGAAGGGGAAACGGGAGGAGAAGGGGAAACGGGGGAGGGAAGAAACGGGGAGGGAGAGGGGGGGGAGGGAAACGGGAGGGAGGGAAACGGAGGGGGAAACGGGGGAGGGACGGGGGGAGAAGGGAAACGGGGGAGGGACGGAAACGGGAGGGAGAAGGGAAACGGGGGGAACGGGGAGGGAGAGGAGAAGGGAAACGGGGAGGGAAGGGGAAATCGGGGGAAGGAGGGGGTGGGGGAGAAAGAGAAGGGGAAAGGGGGAGAGAGAGAGGAGAGAAAGAAAAGGGGGAGAGAGGAGAGAGAGGAGAAGAGAAGAGAGACGAGAGAGAGAGAGAGAGAGAGAGAGAGAGAGAGAGAGAGGAGAGAGAGAGAGAGAGAGAGAGAGGAGAGCCAGGCAGAGAGGCAGGCAGGCAGGCAGCAGCAGGCAGGCAGGAGGGCAGGCAGGCAGGCAGGCAGCAGGCAGGCAGGCAGGCAAGGCAGGAGCAGGCAGGCAGGCAGGCAAGGCAGGCAGGCAGGCAGGCAGGCAGGCAGGCAGGCAGCAGGCAGCAGGCAGGCAGGCAGGCAGGCAGGCAGGGGCAGGCAGGCAGGCAGGCAAGGCAGGCAGGCAGGCAGGCAGGCAGGCAGGCAGGCAGGCAGGGCAGGCAGGCAGGCAGGCAGGCAGGCAGGCAGGCAGGCAGGCAGGCAGGCAGGCAGGCAGGCAGGCAGGCAGGCAGGCAGGCAGGCAGGCAGGCAGCAGGCAGGCAGGGCAGGCAGGCAGGCAGGCAGGCAGGCAGGCAGGCAGGCAGGCAAGGCAGGCAGGCAGGCAGGCAGGCAGGCAGGCAGCAAGGCAAGACACAGAACAGCAGAGAGTAGTATCAATTGAGACATGGAAGGAAATAAAGACATGGGCAGGCAGGCAGGCAGGCATTTATTTATAAAGATAGCCAGATAAAAGGTAATAAAAACAGCAGCTGAAAAGTGATGACTGCACAAACAAGAATTTCTTGGCCTTTCAGATTTTGCAGCTTCTGAAAACCCGTGGCACTCATGGTGTCTCCCTAGATGACGTTCTGACCCTGATGGTGTATGCCACGTCGCTTGGAGGGTCATCAGTGTTTTCTCAGAGAGATGAATATGCACTCACCAACCTCCTGTCTCAAGCTATTGTTGAGGATAAGTTGGATCTGTCGGACACCCTGTTGGAAATCAGTGAGTGGATTATGGTGCACAAAATTTGTGTGATGATGTACTTTAAAATTCTGTTTTCGATTGTGTTTGTGTAATATTTGGATTGTGTTGAATAATCCCATGATTTTTTTTCCAGTTGGGGAAGATGTAGATGAAGTGAGTGCTCTAAAAGCTTCTCAAAATATTGCTAGCCAGTTGCATGCCATAGCCACTGCCAGGGATCACCTGAAAAATTACAAGTAAGAAATCTGACTTTATTACTGTATTACATATTTTGCTTTGCCTCTGTAATAGAAATGGGTCAGCTTTGCAGAAAAGGATATTAACCATGGATCTTACAAAAAGAAAAAAGAAAAAAAAATGTGTATACAAGTAAGCACATATGATGATATGTGATATTGCTTCTTTATGATTTTATATTAGGAAGATATATTAGACTCCAAATGGCTGACAATAATGATTTTTTTTTTTTTTTTTTATGTGCCTCCACTGTAAGCCCCATGACCCACTGTAAATCCAGCCGCAACTCTATTTTTACATTGTGGAAAGCTCAAAGAATGAGATATGAGAAAACTTTTACCAGTCTTTATATTAATTATTATTTTTCAGAAATCTCCACATCCCAGGAGATGCTGCCCAGCCAGCTTCATGTCAAGGTTTGCTTCAGAAATTGGTGCATGATTCCCTAACTGCTCCTCAGACGGAAATCTCAGACATTGAATACAGATCTGCAGGCTTCAAAGATCTGATAAAAACTGGTTTCAGGTAAGCAAAAAGCAAGGCAAACAAAAACAGAGGTCTTGCTTCATTTATTTTGTGATTGTGAAAATTATGTGAAGATATTAAAAATGGATCACAAGGACATGTGTCTGTCGATCTTGAACAAAGTCTCTTAATATTTTTTCAGCCTTTTTGTGAATGTGAGTAAACCCATGCCGAGAGATGCCCCAGCAATCATTGTGTACGTGATTGGTGGAGTCACAGCTGGAGAGGTGCGGGAGATTAAGCAGAGGGTGGAGGAAGTTGGCCCTCCCTGTGAAGTGCTCCTGGCCTCGTCACACCTTGCACATCCCTCTGACACCATTGCCAGAGCCTTGAAACCCTCACCATTCATACAAAATCTATAAGGTCAAGACATAGCATTTGTGTCCTGATGGGCGTGCATTCAAAATGTGCTCAAGCTAGGGTTTTACATTAGAAACTTTAAAAAATTATTTTGTTATTTATTTCAGTTAACTGAATAGGGAGTGGTTGTGGTGCAACCAAAATCTGGTCTCTTCAGTATTGTAATGTTAGATGTAACTAGAGAAGATATATACTGAAACAATATTTACACTGTTTAGCTTGTTATTTACAATTTGTGTAGCTATGATATATATGAATTTAATTCATACATAATGTATACACCTTATTGCCTAAGTGTCTTTATTGTACCATGTATATGAACCTTTATTGGAAAAATAACATTCCCTTTATTTTTACCTGATATTCTGAAGTTTATTCTTCTTTCCTTCAGTAAAGATAAAACAACTGAATGTGTTCTATATCGTGCTGGGTTTGTACATAGATTATACTGTTTATATTTTGTCTATTGTTTACAAGATTTTGGGCATTGACAGGGATAGAATATACATTAAGGACTGTTTCATATTATGTTAAATAAAGAAAAAAACTCATGTATTCTGTTTTATAATCCTTTGTCATTCATTTTCTTCTGGATCCTTTAACAATAAGCTAATACCTTCTGTATATGGTAGCATCATCAGTAAGGCTACACCAATTTTATTTGTTGCTTCACTGATTCACTGCTTCAAAATTTTTGCATTTTGAAAATAAAAAAGCCTGGATCAGAAACCATCACAGGTTTTGCTTTTGCACATGCTGCCAGAAAACAATCAGAGAGCTTCTTTTGTAGTCACCTGATAGTTTTAAACTATAAGTTTAGTTTAGTTTAAAGTTTAGTTGTAGATTAGTTTATAAAGCATGTAGACATTAAAGCAGTTTGATTTTTTCAATGTAAAGCTGAACGTTTGCATGCCAAAGATGACAAAATGCCTGTGGAAAGAAACCCAACACAGCCAACTCTTGCTGTTGTACTGGTTTTTGTTTTTTGGGTGCATTTTTTTTTTTCAATGTTACTGACTCATTAAACTTTAGGTTGACATCATACAAACAAAAATTGCAATAATATATAGGTGGTATGTGTGTGTGTGTGTGAGCACCTGTGTGTGTGTGTGTGTGTACATGCACACCAGAAATGGATTGGGGAGATGATTGAGAGTGTTATGGAAGGCTATGATAGAGTAGAGGCGACTGGGCAGGGTTTGAATTCTTGCATTCCCTTTAAATATAGCGGGTGTAGGTACATGTACCTATTGGGGCGGCGCCTCTAAATTGCATTTTGTGCGTATATATATTATATATATATATATATATATATATATATATATATATATATATATATATATATATATATATATATATATATATATATATATATATATATATATATATATATATATATATATATATACACCAGCATAAACACAGTAACGTGTACACAAAAATGAAAATGAAAACGGCCACAGTGAGAAATGTGTGTGTGTGGAATACTCTTTGCAAGAGAGTACGCTTGCTGACATCACAGAAGTGCCAAAAGAGAAAGTAGAGTGAACACCTGTGTCTGCTGAAGGAGGAAGACACCTGCCGGGACAGAGGTGTGAAAGAGGGAAGGGAATCATCCGGCCTTTAATGTATCATTAACAATATGTATATATTATATTATATATGTATACACACAACACACATATATATATTATTATGTATTATGTATGTATGATATTATTTATAAGGCACACACACATATTTATGTATGTACTGTATATGTATATAATATATATTTTTTCATATATATTTCATATATATGTATATATGTGTGTGTGTGTGTGTGTGTGTATAAATATATGTAATACTCATATATAAAATATATATAATATACATAATGAATATATGTATATATATGTATAATAAACATATATAATGTTTATGCATATGTATATATATGTATATCATAGATATATGTATATATACATATATATACATACATACATATATACATGTATACACACCTTTTCATGTATATGTATATACATATATATGTATATTGCACACACACACACACACTCATTTAAACAACCTTACTGTAAAATTACGGAATCAAAATTCCTGTAACTTTAAGAAAAGCTGACACACACACACAAAAAATCATGCTACCGAAGCCGTGACCGACGTCGTCACCGCAAATCCGAACGCATTGTTTTGGTGCCCGATCAGCTTCTGGCGGAGAGAACGGAGAACGACCTCGAGAAACTAGTTATTTTGGCTTTTGAAGCAACAGGACCTAACTAGTGGCTGAATCACTGATGGAGAAACATCAATGCCTCGTCACGGATTAATCAGGAATAGATTAATCCTCAGGAAAATAGGTATGTCAGTATATCACGTATTTTTTTTATCTAGTTTTATTTTACTTCCCTTCGATATCACCTTTTTGGAGGAACATTGTTGCATTGTCAAGGTAGGTTTGTTTGGGTTATTTTCTAATTCTTTCCCCTTAAAACAAGGTTCTTCATATTTGAAAAATTGGATTAAAGACCCAGCTGCAATTAGTATGTTAATGATGAAGGTTGATTTTTAGTATTATATTGAAGTTTGGAATACATTACAGTTAGAAATTAAATGCAAATGAAGATGAATAGATGTAAAATAAGTTTTGCCAAAGTCTTTTACTCATTGGTACTGGGGTTGCATGTAATGTCCACTGTGGTTTTGTTTTATTAATTTTGGTAACACATGACTTCACAAATGCTATCACTAAAGATTTACAATGCTGTACCACGAAAGAGTCAGTTGCTACTATTACTATTGTTTACCCCATTCTTTGAATATCTGGGAAGAAAGCTTTATTTGCTATTATTATAAAAGCAGTTATTATTATTATTTTAGAAATAAGGAAAATAAAAAGTACTTCCTGAAAATTCCAGAAATAGTGTGGTCATGTAGGCCTGTTGCTTGATACCCTGATTCTGGATACATTATTGTGTTAAGAAAATGGATAAAATAGAACCTCATTGGCCAGTGCCTCAGAACATCAAACGGTTACTATGTTTAGATACTTTTTTATACTCTTTCTAGATAATAGTAATTTGAATTTTCACTAAAACTGATATTTGTTTCACACATTCCAGAAATATACTTGTATAAGATCACCAATGCAGGTATACCCTTTGCAATGGACTGGATCAACTGTAATTCCTGTTGCCGTCAGCCAGGAGATGAAAAGGAACGCACATTTGTACTCACCAGCTGTGGCCACATCTTCTGTGATATTTGTTTATCTCAGGGTACAGTAACTTGCAGCTCATAGTTTTGGTTCTAAAGGTAGTAGGGGCTCTTTAAGCTTTGGTGTTGAGTTTGCTTTGCTGTTTTGCATGCTTGAAACAGATGGATAGAGAGGAATTGGAATACGAAACAGTGTTTTTTACCTGTTCTTCATTTCACACATTCAGTCAGTCAGTCATTCAGTCAGTCAGTCATAAAGAACATGACAGATTTTTTGTTTTTACAGTTGAATCAAGAGAAAAATGTGCAACTTGCTCTACAAGATGCCAACTCATCCAGCTTTCATCGAAGGTATGTGATTATTATTTTTTTCAGTTATTTTTTTGTGAAGGAAATGTAACTCTTTTGGATTAGGAGGGATGGTATCCATTACATAGATACATGTGGAATGTTTTATTAATATATGTATAAGTATAAAGTAGACTTGACTGCTATGAATTTACATGCTCATATAGACAATTTTTTTTCCTCTTTAGATACAACCTTCCATGTAAAGGCTTTGAAAACAGAATAAGAGACTGAAATTTTATAATTTTTTTCACCCTATTCATTTTCATTTCTTTCCCTACTGTTGTATTTCCAAGTTTATTGTTCATTTTGGCCTTATTCCTTTTTGCATTGCTTTCCATCTTGGCTGTAAGGATATTTAATTCTTGCAGATGAAACCAGATGCAGAGATGTTCTTCCTGGAGCCGGGAGAACTTCTCAAGAGACATAACAACCAGATCAACAGACTCTTAGAGTTCCAGAAAGAACACCGTATTCGCCTGGTATCCTTTCATAGAAGAATTGTACGTAGACATTTTTTTTTGTTCTATGATTTGGATAAATGTTTTTTCTTATAATTTTATTCTTGGTGTTGAGAGCAACCCTCTACTGTAGTTGCTTAAAGAATTGAGTCTTTCAGACCGATATGTAAATGGTTGTTTAATAAGTTTTTAGGAGCTTTTATCTAATCTGTAACTTTGTAGGATTATCTTTTTTTCTAAAAATACTTCTTGGTCTTGCTAGTGCACAGTTACGCAATAATAATTTATGTGACCTTTTTCGTAGTATATGTATATGTTTACATCATATTTTATATGTGCAAGATGCCTTTGCATAGACTCACACATACTTATTCCAGTGTTATAATACCAGTCTATAAGAATATCTAGATTTTCCAGTTCTTTATATTCCTTCTAGATCCAGAAGTACAAAGACCTTGAGAAAGAGTTCAGATCAGCATCTGCCAACTTCAAGGAAATGGAAAAGAAATATGCAGCAGCTTCCAAGCATATCCAGGAGCTGGAAGGGTAAGGGCTGTAAAAGTTTTCAGAGCTTTTTTTGATAACTTTTATCTATTTGATATTAATTTTCATGCATTTTCTGGGATATGCACACATGCACACACACGTGCACACATGTGTACATTCATATGTACATACATGCAC